TCCTCAAGAACGAGTTCCCAGACCTCTAGTGGGAGGGATGGAGCCGGAGATGCATCGAGATTCGTCCCTCCCGGGGCGACGGTGCAGCAGGTCCCGGAGTTTAAGCAGCTGGCGCAAGGCCCGACGTGGGGCCATGACGGGGAAGAGCGAACATTCGATCAGACGTGTTTCACTCACTCTCACGGCTCCCAATTTGGTCCACGACCAGGAGAAAGCCAGTAAAATAAATATCTGGTGGTCGCGTATGAGGCGCAGGTATGACTTAGTTTCCCCAGGAGTTCATCGAACGCAAGTCATAAATAATCTTGCAGGGACTGGACTCAAAACCAGGGTTTCGACCATGAAAAGTCCAAACATTTCAGCGAGAAATGCCCGAAACAAACTGAAAGAGTTAACCGTCGGGCAGGGTTATTTGAATATTTGACACCTTCCATGGATATGCCAGGACTCCGTCTCTAAAAACAGTAGCGTCACTGCACGGCCAACCGGCACGTGCTTTGACTTTGGCCGTTGGGAACAAGAGTTTGAAGAGTTGTTGAAGAGGTGGGTGATCTCTGGATCACCTTGGTTATTTCAGGAATCAGACGGAGTTTAGTGTGAGAATCCAAATAATAAATAGCGGTTGGCTGAGCTCTGCAAACGCTTGAGCAATACATAGGAAACTGAGCTACTTATATACTAACTGTTCAATGTTACTAGAATGTTCCATAATAATCTCCTGTGTTCTCCTGTGTTCTACTTGACTTTGGCTGACTCTCGTTATGACTCGAACCTCGGCCATGATGCCGGGTTGCCTCTTCCGGCAATAACTCCAACACTCCCCTTCAAGCCGGCATCATCTCATGATCCGGTTCAAACTCCCCTTATTCCTCATGAGCATTCGAGCTCCTGCAAGTCGGACTTCAAGCCGGCCCATTCCGATTCATTCGGATCAGTTCTGTTCACGTTCGATTTCAATCGAAAGTCTTCTTCATCAATTCACGCCCGATTCATTCGGGAGTCTTCTTCATCTCTTCACGCCCAATTCCACATGGGAGTCTTCTTCATCAAAGCTGTTGTCCTAGTTCGAATGTGCCGTGATGCCGATTTATTCCGTAATTCAACTGGTGTCCTTACAAGGAACTGTCAGTCTTCGATGGCAACATCTGCTTGGTCGTCGTTGTCTGGGGTTGCCGATGATCTCGCGGGTCTGATTCCATCCGCTGGGTAACCGGTAGCTGCCGGGAAAGCGTTTGTGTTGGGTTTATTTCAGGAATCAGACGGAGTTTAGTGTGAGAATCCAAATAATAAATTAGCGGTTGGCTGAGCTCTGCAAACGCTTGAGCAATACATAGGAAACTGAGCTACTTATATACTAAACTGTTCAATGTTACTAGAATGTTCCATAATAATCTCCTGTGTTCTCCTGTGTTCTACTTGACTCTCGTTATGACTCGAACCTCGGCCATGATGCCGGGTTGCCTCTTCCGGCAATAACTCCAACATCACCCAATAAAATCCCACGACCCCCCGTGAGAGTGATGGCTAGTGATGGCTAGTGATGGCCGGCATCAACCGCGCCATTTCTGTCACGGTCAGACGCGCATCGCGCCTACGCCACTCATGCCCGCCCTGCTCGTCCTCACCTCTTGGGCACCTTCACTCTTTCAAGTGCATCTCTAGTACTTGACTCTGAAGGAACCATGGAGTCCTATCCCTGTATATAATGCAGATAGCTCCCTCCACGGACCACAGCTATCCCAGTTGTCATAGGATTTTTACGGGTTTGGTAACTGTAGGAATCCAACAGGGGAGTCCTTGGCCCCCATCAGATATAAACACCTATGAATTCCAAAGGCTTGCTCGATGGTCGACTGCGTGAAAGGTCCTAGATTCCAATGTTTCTACTATGCAGGGGAAAATGGTAAGTAATTGGGTTTGTGTAAGAGGATCGAACCCAAGACCTGAGCAATACGAAAGGCAGAAGTGATAACCTCTCGGCCATAGTACGACAAGTGCATCCGCAATATATAGTCCTCAAGGAAGTCACCTCCATCAACAGACATATGACTACAACTCAAAGTCCGCACACGGTAGTCTCTCATTCAACTCCTACTCTACTTGAAGACACAGGGATTAACTCCATAGCCAATAGACAGTAGAAAATGATATTGATGAGGAAGATGTTATTAAAAAGTTTTTGAATCTGTGCTTCAAGTTCAGAAATCAGCCCTTCTATCCGAGTCCTTGGACCACAGGTTTGTGCTATGCATACACCTGTACTTTTAGGTTTCAAGGAATCCCTGTTAAATTGGGTAACGGGCTGAGCCAGGGTGTTGTGTTGGTGGATCATGAAATCAGAGGACTCGGAGGTGAGCAGGTACTACATTCACCAGGAGTCCGAAGGATACAAGTTGGTGATTTGGCTGAATCATCGAAATCCAATGAATGCTCCAATGGATTTCAGGAGTTTTTATATTCAATGGCTCCCGAGGAATGTCCTTAGAAATCCGGCGGGAAAATCATTGGATTTCGATGGGCATCCAATCCTATCAAATTCCGATGATTGCCGGGATAGCCGTGTAATGCAAATACTGTGCCGCAAACTATTCATCTGTCTCTAGTTCTGGCAGTCGTTCTCCGAGCACGGAACCAGGGGAATGGAGAAAAAGGACACGCGAGGTTCTCTGTCCAACCTGTTCAACATGGATAAAGCATGGACATGATCGAGGTTCACGGCTGATGGACAACCATCGGCGCGGTAGGCGATGTCGCCGGGCCCGAATCTTTAGGACCAGAGGTCCACAAGAAGTAACAGATATCGAGCGGCAGCCAGCACAGCGCAGTAGCTCGTCAAATGTCATGTAGGTAGATAGCCATGCAGTATTTGAGGGTAGTAGAGACAATTGTAAAGAGGGAGTAAGGAACCTGCAATGTGAGCTTGCCAGCAGAGGCCGACAAGAGGCAGAGGCGGTAGCAACTATGCCGATGATCCGAGAACAGCCATCGGTGATTCACGTCGCAAGATCATACTGTATTTTTCATTCAATCCGACCAGGGGGTGACGCGTGACTTAAATTACCGATTCGACCATTCGACCGCGGCCGAAATTTTGCGTGACACATGCAAAAATTTCGACCACCGGAAACGAAAATTTTCGATTTTGGGCATCGCGGACACAATTTTGGGGGCCGCATGATGCAAAATGTGTTCGACCAGAGGGTGGGTGATGCGTGACAAAATACCAATGTTCGCCATCGACCACAGGGGGAGTGATGCGTGACGGTCGAATTGAATGAAAAAATACAGTATTGACCGATCCAGAGATCACTTAGTCTGTAGTTAACCACGCGCTGATGTATTGGAGGTCGACCTTATTACGTAAACTTCGGAGTTTCAATTTGGGCCAGGCTCGTTCAACACTTCCAGAGGCCTGAAACACAAATCCTAGGAGGCCAACAGGCTCGGAATTCAACTCCGAGAAGCTTTGTCGCTTCAAAGTTGTTTGCCTCGTGCACTTTCGCATGGAACGAAATCTTCGTCGGCTCGCGTGACCGGCCTATCAAAATTCGGCATCGCGGTTCTGAGGTCTATGCGGGAAAAGGGGACGGAGAAGGGACTTCTTTTGGCCTTTTGTAGTATTACTCACGACGAATCTGTAAAGAAACGCGCCCCAAACGCGCCAACGAATCCCGACATTTTTCAGATTACATAATAAGGTCGACCTCCAATGACAGCTGTCAGGTATTCGACAGACTACAACACGCGAGGTACCGAGCGAAAATTGTTGTAGCATCTGTTTATAAGAGACTAGAGATCACTCACCTCTTGGATGGGAAAGTGAGGGCAGCTGATGAACTCGCACCGAGTCCATTAACTAGCCGATGACGGCAACACTAAAAGACCATCATGCGAGGTTCAGGCTCATTCGGCGTGCAATGGTGTCACCAAACATTCACTCTGAAGAACTTGCGCGCCGTGCGAATGGGCTGGAATAATTGGGCCCAACATTAAAGCCCGAACAAATACCATCAAAAAAAAAAAGACCCGACCCCGAGTCAACCGGGGGGCATCTTGCTGAGTGCTCGCCGATGAACTTCGAGACAAGGGGACATGGCGGTACACGCCGGTCTTCCAAGAACCTAATTGGGTCTGGGTTACATGAGAAAGTTGGACGGTAGGAATGAAACTAAGTACTAGTTCGAATGGATTCTCGCAGCTCGGTTAAGTTGAGATTTTATAGTTCGAAAATGGTAGGGTGAATTTTGCATCGACTCTGAGTGGCCTTATTCGGCTTAGCGAGACGGAGAAATAAAATGATAGGCAGTATTTATCGACCCGACCCCGAGTCGAACAGGGCATCCTGCCTGCACTCTAGACTCTCACCCTCACAAGGGGCAAGTGCACACCGTGTGCTACCGGGTCTTATACGCATATATACGAGACTGGTTGGATGAGAGACTGTCGGTAGGGATGTTCGGAGCAGGATTGAGTCTGTGTCAATCCCGGCAGCTGAGTTGAGAGGCTCGAAAAATAACAGGATCAATTCGTACATCGGGCAATTCTCGTAAGTACTGCCGACCTAGCCAGCTTAGAGAGAGAAAATAGACAATGTTAGACGCAACCTTAAAGGAATAAACGATTGACGGAAGGGAAGAGTTAGTTGTGTTCCTCCGGACAACATGTTCTTTGTGGGCCAAAAAAAAAAGAAATCAATTGCATGACAAGACCTGACCCCGAGTCGAACGGGGTTCTTCTGCTTAAACGCTAAGAGCTGGGGATGAAGAGCAGACGCACGAACCAGCTATGGTATCAGGTCATAGAAGACACTGTTGAAAAATGAACGTCTCAGCTTGAATCCCCAACCCAACTTGAACCGATGTTCTGCCTATGGAGATGCTGAATTGCGAGGTTTTTCAAAAGTCTATTGAGATATCATTTGGGAAGAATTAAAACGTAGAGGCGACAGGAGGCTCATCGTCTTGGAGAAGCTGTATAAAAATGTTAATGCAAACGGTCCATGACCCGACCCCGGATCGAACGGGGATCTTCTGCTTGAAGGAGGAATGACGATATGAAGAGCAGACGCACGAACCAATTATACTATCAGGTCGTGGTATTAATGACTCAAAGCCAACTTACAGCTAGGCTGAGGTTGGGCTGTATGCTCTCATCGGAATCTAATCTAATCTCGTCACAGTGACGAGTAACATCACACACAGCTTTCCCTCTCTCCATCATGGCGTCGACGCCGGCGAGCGCAGCGCCCGATATGCTGACTTCTGTGTTCGCGGGGCTGAAGAACAAGAACCCGGATGTCCGCCTGCAGAGTGCAATGGAGCTCCGCCGGTACGTCGCCCGCAGCGTGGCGGACATGGCCGGCGACGACGACAACATCAGCCGGCGCCTCTTCGAGCTCATCCACTCCCAGAACAGCACAGACAACCTCGGGGGCCTCATGGCGATAGGTGTGCTCCTTGTCTTTCAAGTTGTAGTAGAGTTGACTTGACGTGCGACAGACCACCTCATTGACTCGGAGGGCGAGGTCACGATCGACTCGCACCACAATCTGTTCCGCTTCTACAACTACGTCAAGCACCTCCTCCCAAACCCGGACCCAAACCTCATTCTCGCCGCGTCCAAGACGCTCGGCCACATCCTCGCCGTCGGCGGCCCCGCGTTCGGCGAGAGATTCATGGAGGACCAGGTCCTCGCGGCCATCACGCTCGCCGCCGCCGCGCACAGCGGCGGCGACAAGCACGACGCGCTCGGCATGGCGCGCTACGCAGGCGCGCTCATCCTCAAGGAGCTCGCGCTCAACATGCCCGCGCAGTTCCACGCATACCTCCCCGCCGTGCTCGACGCCGCGGTGCTCGCGCCGCTGCGGGACCCGCGGCTCGTGGTAAGGGAGGCCGCGGCGGAGCTGCTGGCGGCGTGTCTGGAGATTGGGGCGCAACGCGAGCGGAGCACGGCCGCGGGCGCGGGAGAGGCGCACGGCGCTTATTTGGGGAAGATATTGGCCGACGCGCAGGCGGGGCTGAAGTTCTCGCAGCCGGAGGTCATACACGGGAGTCTGCTCACGTACCGCGAGCTACTCCTCCACGCCGGGGCCGTGCGTTCTTTCCCCTCTCTTTATTAGCGTAGCACTCTAATTTAATTTCCTACAGTTCATGCGCGAAGGCTACGCAGAAACCGCCGACGCGATCCTAGCCTTCAAGGCAAACCGCGACCCCGCGGTGCGGCGCATGGTCGTCGCGATGGTGCCGACGCTCGCGAGCTACAACACGCCCGCGTTCAAGGAGCTCGTGCTGCACAAGGCGATGGGGCACCTCCTGGGGCAGCTGGACAAGGTGCATGAGCGGGATTATGGTGCGTTCTTCCCCGTTCTTCTCCTCGTTCTTCGTTCCCCCTCCTTCCCAGTTCTCTCCTTGTTATCACTACTCCCCGTTGTTATTACTCCCGAGCGCTAACCTCACACAGCCTTGATTGCGATCGGGCACACGGCGACGGCGGTGGGGGCGGAGATGAAGCCGTTCTTGGAGACGGTGATGAACCACATCAAGACGCGGCTCAAGGAGGCGGCGGGCACGGCCGCGGGCGCCGCGCGGGGGTGTGTGTCCTACCTGACCCTTTTCTGCACCTCTTAAACTCACGATTCTGCTTCTTCCTTCTTCTGTTTCCAACCTCACACCAACTAAACAACACACCAACTCACCTGACCCTCCAACTCACTTGACAATTCAACACCCAGGCGCCCGCCACCCCCGCCGGACCCGCTCCTCGCAGCGCTCGGGCTGCTCGCCGCGGCCGTCGGGCCGATGCTCACCATGCTGCTGCACGACCACCTGCACCTCCTCTTCGCCGCGGGCCTCTCTGAGAGCTTGCGCGGGTGCCTGGGGCAGGTGGCGCGCGCGATTCCGCCGCTATTGGGCGTCGTCCAGGGTGCGTCCGTCTTCTTTGTCTCTGGTTATATTTCCTCGTGCTCGCTGCGACGCTCTTTTTATTTTCATTCTCCTATCCCGACCCAAGCCCAACGCTAACCCCCCTCCCCTCACAGACCGCCTCCTCGACCTCCTGTCGCACATCCTCTCGGGCACGCCCTACACGCGCATCGGCGCGCCGCCCGTCCCGCCCGCGGCGCCGGCGACCGGCAGCGCGAGCAACGTGCACCAGGGCGGCGCGGGCGCGGCGGGCGGGCCGAGCAAGGAGCTGCTGACGCTTGCGCTGAATACGCTCGGGACGTTCGATTTTAGCGGTGCGTTGGTTTTCTTTCTTTTTTTTTTGTGTCGTTCGGGTTCGATTTCAATTTCGATTGGGCTGCGATTTTCTTGCGGGCTCCGCCGGTTTCTTGGTGTTGAGGATGGATTTGATGTTACGGCCTTGAGCACGCCGTCCGCTTCCCTTCTCTTCCATTTCGCTTCAGTTTTTTCGTGTTCAGAACGGAGGTTGATCCCATCACTGACGAAAACTAACAACACCACACAGGGCACGTCCTGACCGAATTCGCGCAGACGAACGCGCTGCCGTACGTGGAGGACGACGCGCCCGAGGTGCGCCGCGCGGCCGCGCTCGCGTGCTGCCGGCTCTTTGGCGGCGCCGCGCGCGAGGCGGAGGAGCACGCGCTCGGCGGGGGATACGCGGTTAACGGCGGCGGCGGCGGCGGGGTGGGCTATCAGACGAGCGGGCACGCGGTCGACGTCGTGAGCGACGTGCTGGGCAAGCTGCTGACTGTTGGGATCGCCGATCCGGGTGCGTTTCTCCTACTGCCTGCCCAGTGCTGCTGTTGATTGAAGGGATACTTAATTAATGCAGACCCGACGATCCGGAACATCGTGCTAGGATCGCTGAACGAGCAGTTTGACCGGCACCTGTCGCAGGCGGAGAATGTGCGGAGCTTGTTTATTGCGCTGAACGACGAAGTGTTTGAAAATCGGGTGACGGCGGCGAGCTTGATTGGGGTACGTCCTTCTTTCCTTCTATCGATGTATAAAGAGACTGAGAGCCTCCAGCGCATGGCGCGGCACAATCCGGCGTATGTGATGCCGTCGCTACGCAAGACGCTCATCCAGCTCCTCACGGAGCTCGAGTACTCGACCGTCCCGTGAGTCCCCTCCGTACCTTTATCTGGATAAGGTATTGAACGCACCGCAGGCTGAACCGCGAAGAGTCGACGCGCCTGCTGACGATCCTCGTACACAACACGCAGCGGCTGATTAAGCCGTACGCCCTACCTATGTTCGCCGTCCTGCTGCAAAAGGCCAAGGCCGCCCCGCCCTCAGCGAGCATGCTCACGTGCCTCGGCGCGCTCGCGAGCGTCGGCGGCGAGGACGCGCGCGCGTACCTCCCCGAGTTGATGCCCGCGCTCGTCGCGGGGCTCTCGGACGCGAGCCTCGCGAAGCGCGAGGCGGCGCTGAGCGCGCTGGGGAAGGTGTGCTCGAGCACGGGGTACGTGATTGCGCCGATGGTGGACTACCCCGGGCTGCTACCGCTGCTCGGGCGTATCCTGCGCGCGGACGCGGCGGGGGCGGGGGGCGCGCCGGGCGCGGGCGAGGCGGTGCGGCGCGAGGTCGTCAAGGTCATGGGCGTGCTGGGCGCGATGGACCCGTATCGGCGGAAGGTGCGCGGTGTCTAATGCGTACCTGGTACCTAGATTGAAGGCTAATGGGGCGGACAGACGGCGCGGATCGCGGAGGACGAAATGGGGAGCGAGACGTCGATGGTGGCGGTTAACCAGGTGCCGCTGGCGTCGTCGGGGCCGGTGACGAGCACGGGGTCGGGCGCGGACGACTATTTCCAGACGGTGGTCGTCGCGGCGCTGCTCCGCGTGCTTCGGGACCCTGCGTCGAGCGGGCACCATCATACGGTGATTGAGGCGATTATGTCGATTTTCAAGACGCAGGGGTTGAAGTGTGTGGGAAGCTTACCTCAGGTGCGCGCCCCCGTTGATTCGTTACTTTGTTACCGAGGTTTATTGTTTCTTTGTTCCAGATCATGCCGGCATTTACGGCCGTGACGCGGACGGCGACGGTGCCGCGCGTGCAGGAGTTCCACCTGCAGCAGCTCGCGATCCTCATCGGCATCATCAAGCAGCACGTCCGGAACCACGCGGCGGAGGTGCTCGGGCTCGTCACGGAGCTCTGGGACAACACGGCGCTGCAGACGCCGATCGTCGCGCTCATCGAGGCGGTCGGCCGCGCGCTCGCGGCGGAGCTCAAGCCGTTCCTGCCGACGATCCTCCCGCTGCTCCTGAAAGTGTTCGCGGTCGAGGGCGAGCTGAGCGAGAAGCGCATGGGCACGCAGATGAAGATCTTTGACGCGTTCCAGACGTTTGGCGCGAACATCGAGGAGTACCTTCACCTCGTCATCCCGATCATCGTGCGCGCGGCCGAGTCGACGTACGGGAGCGTCGCGCTGCGCAGCAAGGCGATTGGGACGATCGACAAGCTGTCCAAGGTCGTCAACTTTTCCGACCACGCGTCGCGCATCGTGCACCCGCTCATGCGTATCCTCGAGCGCGGCGTCCACGAGCTGCGCATCGCGGTGCTGAATACGCTGTGTTCGCTTATCGTGCAGTTGGGCTCGGATTTCGTCATCTTTGTGCCGACGATTAGCAAGGTGGGCTGCTTTTTGGCGTATATGGCGTGATCGTTGGCTGACGGGCGCAGTGTCTCATTCGGCATCCAATCTCGCATCCTGGGTATGACCGTGCCGTTACGCAGCTGCTCAACGGCGAGCGCCTCGCGCACGAGCCCAACGCGCTGATGTATGTATTTATTTTCTATTTTATTTGCTGGGTGCTAATCCGTGGCCAGGCTGAGCGAGAAGATCCCAGAGTCCGCGCCGGCGGAGGCGGCGAAGCTCACGGTGAACCAGATCCATCTCAAGCAGGCATGGGACACCGCGCAGATCAAGACACGCCAGGACTGGATCGACTGGACACACCGGCTCGGGGTGGAGTTTATCAAGGAGTCGCCGTCGCATGCGCTGCGCGCTTGCATGAGCCTCGTTGAGACGCAGTCACCGCTCGCCAAGGAGCTCTTCAACGCCGCGTTTTTGTCATGCTGGGGCGAGCTGTATGAGCAGTATCAGGTGCGGCGCGTTCATTCTTCAACT